GTCAATTCTCCATTTTTTTCTCAAACTTGGAAATAAGCAAACTTTTGATGAAAAGTGCACGTAAAAGTCGGAAATTTAACACTCGTGTAATTTAAGTTCCATTTTTAATAGCATGCGTAAAATTCGAATTTTCAACACACAGGATTGTTGCAAAAATATTCTGAAATATTTCCAAAATAATCTTTTTATATCCTCCATGGGTTACGTTATTGTTTTTCTTTTTTTTTTATAGCAAAAGAAGATAGTATTTCAAAGAGAGAACAGTCATGCGAAAAAGTGGATTAAAAAATATATGTGATAAAGTATTTTATCCAAAAGGAAGCTCCTTGCATTACGGAACTCGTTAAACGCGTCCAAGCGGACAATTTTTATTTCCATCTTCTTTTTTATTCGTCTCTCCTTCAGACACAACGCGCGTCTGGTTGCGCCACGTGAGAGATTTTTTAAGATGGGATTTTAACGAGCACGTAGGGTATTTTTCAGAGTCTTCCTCCGCCAGTCGCCTTAATACTTTTCGCTCAGCTCCTCTCCGTGCATCGGACGTGCTCTCGAACTTTAAAACACATCCCGCCGTTCGACCTTCCCCGCGGGCCCCCTCCCGCGAGCCAAGATTTTCACATGACAAAAATAACGAGATGCATTCAGTGGAGTGAAGTCGTCGCCCGCACTCGCACGTATCTATAAAGCCCGGTCTACATAGGCCGCAGTTCGCAAAACACACGCACAGTCTACACATGTCAATCTAATATCTCTGTGTATAGAAGTTATGTGTGTCTTGCGTTTTGCGAACTGCGGCTTATGTAGACCGGGCTTAACGCGAGCACGTGGCGGAATGTCGTTGCCAGACAATTTGTCGGCCCTTTCGCTCATTCATTTGCCCTTTTTCTTCGATTTTATTTTATTACGCGGCCTCCTTTTAAATTTCACGCAAATTACAAACCTCATCAAACGCTAACGAACTTTCGGAAAAAAAAAATTCGTGCCGATTTTTATAAATAGAAGTTTAATTGTATCCGCGGGCAGAAGTACTGTGTGCAAAAAGTACAGTGTTTTTTATAAATTGATGCAGTCAAAAATAAAATTTTACGTCAGAGTATTTTTTAATATAACGCCGCAGGCGGGGTATGTGTAAGCTTACAAATACGTTTTATTTTATAAACGAGTTGTTAAATGATAGTACATCACATAAAATATCGTGTAATTAAACTTTCAGTTCTGTTTAACTCGTATAACGCGCGTACAGTTGTTCGTAAATATAAATTTTATAGAGCACTCTCTTATTAATTACTGTAATTACCAGTACGGTGTTGGAGCACACAACGCGCGTTATAAAATAATTACTCAATTTAATCGTTTTTTAATACATTGTAAAAAGACTCACCCCGGGCTTTGTGACATTCCAATAAATGAATAACAAATTTAACATTGAATAATATTGCACGAATTGCACAAACAATTCGCTATTCCCGAAAATTAAACGATAATATTAAGCTATCAAAAAATACGATATTTTACTCTTTAATCGACTAATTAACTTCTCACGAAAAACGTTGCTAACACGCTGGCGCTTCGTCGAACAAAAAAAAATTCAAAGTAACAAGGCCATTAATTTTAGCTTTGATCGATCAGCGAGGAGGCGTCTCTCGTCACTTTGTTGCAAACGAAACGAGCGGCGTCAATTAATCTATTAAAATAAGTGATCAGTTAAACTCCGCTTTTTTCGACATTATATTAACTCCCACGAAGGAAGTACGTATTTTTCACCGCGTAAAACTCGTTTAGCGCCGTTTCATGTGCAACAAGTTAATAGGCTTTTTTTTGTGTGACCGTACGCTAACCCGACCCTCGAAAAAAATAAAAGGGAAGATCGTTACGTACGCGCGAACGTTGTTTGAATGATGGAACGTATCGAACGCGCATGATGAGAGTTCATTGCCCGTCCGCTTCTCGAATCGCAGATTCGTGATTGGTATTTACGTCGCGACCGCGTCTGCCATAAATGCGAAACTATGGTGTTTATTGACGATGCCGGGCGAACGCGGACTGAATGAACATCCGCAAATTCACGTTCGGCGTATCTGTCTGCGATTTTATAGCTAGTTGCACGCTTCCTTTTCCGAGCCGCAGAATTTTCTATCCGGAACGTAAAAGTTAGACTTTTAGATTCAGAATTATCGGACTCCGATATTTATATTTAATAAAAAAGAATCGACTTTTTAGATTTAAATCTCGCCGTTCCTCAGGTACAGAATCGGGAGTTTGAAGCGGGACGAAACACTGCAGTATTTTTAGTTTGGCCTATCAGCTTCGCGCCGCGAGTCCCAGCTCCGACGAAAAAGAAGTTCCTTTCGAAAGCGGGGAAGCTTTAGGCTTCACGGTGGTCGAATCAATAGCGGGTGGCGCGAGCGAGACGGGTAGACGTAGACGCAGATAGGAGAGTCGCGGATGGAAGAAAGGAAGGAAGGAAGGGACAAAGGAGGCCAAGGAGAGATTCGGAAACTTGGAGCTCTTGCACGTTTGTTCGCGCGCGCTCGCCGATATAGCGCATCGATAAGCCATCCTTAGCCGATTATTTTGCGAGAGTATCGCCAAGTATCGGGCCGAGCTTTTCCGCCAACATGACAGCCGTCAGACCAGCATGGACTCGTTTTGTCGCTTCCTGTACAACGCCGTTCTCACCGTTGTTGTCTTTCTCAGGATTATCAGTGAGTAGCGAGAGCGTGAACATCGATCGGGCAGATCGTTGAATTGAATTATGGTTGCGCGTATAACGAGCGTTTGGTGACAAACGATTTGAGAATGGTCTTTGACGAAGATGTTTCTGTGAAACTAGCGATTCTGCACGCGAAATGTGTTCTCTATTAGTATCAGTCGAAAAGCTATTTGTGGATTTTTGGTTGTATTTGGTCGACAATTATACCAGACGTGTATGAGCAATCATAATGGCTGTGTGATGTAAATTCCTGCGGCCCGAGAGCTCTATATTAACGAGCGAGGTGTACTCTGCCAATACTAACCGCGCTGAATAAATTTTATTAGTATTCCGTGCGAGTTACCGCAAAGATAGTCGGAATATCGGATAACCGCGACTGCAGTATTTAACTTGGCTATCTATCTATCCCGGGCGAGCTTAAAGCTTTAACGTTCGTGCCATTACTCTCTCTCTCTCTCTCTCTCGCCGCGTTCGGATAATACCTCGATCGTCTTGGACAATCTCGGAACGACAAGCTTTCTTACGCGTAATCGCCGCTGCGATAGATTAGCGCGAACTTAAATTGGATTCCGATTCGGGGTATTCGACCTTCCGGTTTTTCTTCGCGAAAAGCACAGCCGAACTTCAAACATTTGTCATGCTCCGCTTTCTCGGGCGAGCGGCTCTCAATTTCTTGATGCTCGCGGTATCGGAAATTCGATTCCTCGACGTGAAATACATCCGATCTCGCTGAATTCCGTAACGTTAAAACCGGCGCCGGCGTTTACTCTGATATCGGAGACGGTCGGTCGCGTATCGATACCGTGTATCAAGCCGACCTTTATGGCGACATGTCTCACGGCATGCACCGGCAGCTCCGGTCGATCGCATCTGCTATCACGGTCTGCCATAACTCCCGGAGCCTTGACCTTTGGCCGCTCGCGTTATCTGTCGGTATTTAAAGCTGCGCGAAACCGTCCGCGCGGTCGTGACGTGGCGTTGCGCCGGCACGCGAAAACAACCGGGGCCGGGCCGTTCGAGATTTCCGCGAAGTAATAATGCTCTCCTCGAGAAAACGGGACCGCTTATTATCACGTGCAGTCACGTCAGCGAGAGGGAACGGCGAGAGTAACTTATACGCATGCGTTCCCGAAAAATCGATGCCTATAATTTTCTACGAATGAATACACGATACAATTGCTTCCAAGTCGTCACGAGTTGGAACCGCTACAACAGAGATTTCTAAAACGCGATATCTATTCTTCATTGATTATTCGTTTCGTCGTGTATTTTATGTTTTATTTCTCCGTTGTTCCATTTGCGTGATTGATGAAAATTATCGTAAGAATTGCCTTGAAAATCGTCTGAATAATTAATTTCCTCGTCGTTATAGCGGGGCGCATTTTGCATCGATAATACATCTTCGATCGTTTCCATGCATATTTAACAGTTAAGCAGGCACATGTAAAAGTAATAAAATGTGGATCCTTTCTGGCAAAGTATTTTTATTTATATCCGATAAAATTATAGAAATGTAATATACGTTTCTAATATATTACATATTGCAGATAATTTTGGAACATCTGTTCTAACAAGATGTGTCTCTTTGTTTTCCAGAAAACGGCCTTCTCTCCTTCGAAAATCCCAACTACCATCTGGATCCAGCTCGGCTGGACGATGCTCTGAACAGCAATGGAAACGGCAGTTCTCTGTACGATGAATTATATCAGGAATTGGTCGGCAGTAGCGGCAGAAGTGGCGAGGTGACCGGCGGCGGCGGGGGAGGGGGCGGTGGAACGAGGGTGCAGGCACGCAGAACCTACGCCACATTGGATTTGGGCAGTATGGGGGTGGACGTCACTCAGGGCCCCCTCACGCAGGATTCCGTGACGGACGACGCTCCCGACAACACGGACAACCATAACCTAGGGTGAGTACTGTTAGCTCTGTCACGTTCTTTTTCTCGCTCTTTCTCTTTCTCTTTTTTTCTCTCGTTGGCGGCCGATAAATGGTTTCCCGATGCACGCGCTGATAGAAATACATCTCTCCTCTTTGAATTTTATAAAATATTTAATTACAACATTTTTAATTACATAATAAATATTATTTTTATTAAGGTTTTTCTTAAAACTTACAAAAGTACGAATTTGATGCAAATTTATAAATACATCATTAGAGACGGCATTATTTTACATAATTTAAATATCATCAAATTATCATAATAGGTGATACGTAATGATATACAGAATGTACTGCGTTTGCTCCAAACAGGGCGGGATATACTCTAAAGAAGTCATTTTTAAGACGCGATTGAATCTAGGACCCACGCGACGCACTCTAGAATTTTTATGCACTCGCGCGTAATATCCACAAGCCTGTCACGTCCTGTCTGGCTGAGTATACGAGCTGGAAATTTATGATAGACTATGTCGCCGTTGTCAACGCCGCGCCGTAATCTCCTAACGTCGTTACCTGCAACGTACCCCCAACGACAGCTCCTGGCTGTCTTTATCTTCCTCCCCGAACCGAAGTCTTGAAATTTCATCCCGTCGATCACGCGTTCAAAGTCGCACGAGTAAACTATAAGAGGGAGGAGGGTCGAAACGACCGGAATAAACTCGGTTACGTTTCGTCGATTTTCAATACAACGGCTTTCAATATAACTAAAGATTTTCAATATAACGGCTTCACGGTTTCTATCTTTATCTCTTTGAGACGAGTGAACCAGCTAAAATTGATCATATATAGTCCGAGATATACGTATAAATTGTTTATATCGAAGTCGCGAATTGAATCCTCACGAATAAAAAGAAACTATTTTTGCTCCGGTAGTTTGATTAAGGCGGACTGCTATTAAATTCTTAAAATCAAATTCAATTCGTTGCCACGGGCGCCGTCGTGATAAAAATCGCCTGGATATTCGACGTGAACGTTCGCCCGGCTCTTGGCGAGGTCGAGATCATATTTGTGCCTGTCATTCTTCCTCTCTTTTATTCATCGCGCATGAATCCGCGGCGATGGAAGTGGTACGAATCGATAAATAGTCAGACCGAGCGGCAACGCGAGCGACAGCGCGCCCGGGATAGAGAGACAGCACACAGCCGGATATATATGTCGATAAATAGCGGCCGGAAATTTCAATAAATTTATGGAACGGGGAAAGCGCAGCCGAATTTGCGACACGCGACATATCAGGCAAGATTCCACGGTATAAAGTAAGACCACGGAGGTAAACGCCGTACTATTAAGGTATACGTGTCACATTCGGGGCAACGAGCTCGAAAGTCCGCGCGCGATCATAAGAGACCCCACTTTGTGGAATTGTGTGTGCGCGTGTGTGTGTGTTTGCGAGCGGCAGTTACGAGAAGATACACGCGAGCGAGCTTATGGCCGCGACTACCTCCGGCATAACGTCGAACGCGAGCATATAAATAATGCGGCGTCCCCCGGTGCCTGCACATGCACCGGCGTATACGTCGGTGAATTTATGTAGAGACTCCACGTCGCCTACGCTCGGTAGTTGATAAAAGTTTCAACGCGTGGGCTATTCGCGGTTGCAGATCGAACGATCATTACGGATTATCGATCTCCCTCCTACCCCCCGTCTCTCTATCCGGAACGAATCTTGTCAGTTGCACATGATAAATTGGCAATTTATTCTCGTTGTGCTTAAATAAAAATATACTGTAACCTTTTCGCCCGGTTTATATTCGGTTATGGACGAAATTAAATGAGAAGGATTTTTTGAACTGCGACGAAGTAACAGAACTGATATCGCGGTTCGCGGAATCGTGCGACATCAGATACATTTTATTCGATTCGGGTATCTGCATCTGGTATTGAATACGTCTTCGGCAATATGCCGTACAAATGGGAACATTGTCGGAGACGTAATGCAGTCGAAGCTGCACGGTGAGAACGTATATATAACTATTCACCGTAACATCGTGTCGCGCGTATTCCCGTGGATGTAAAATCGATACCGCATTTATATTTTCTGTCGCAGCAATGACTTTCTAAGCCGTGCGAGACATACGCGCGGTTGAAATTACAGCAGAATGTTCCCTGGTTTACGTTCCGCGCATATAAATGCGCGACTCGACTGACAAAACTGTATCACACGAGTGCTCTAATATTAATTGGATCGTATCACATGGTGTCGTTACGTCGCGATGCACCGCGTTGAAATTACGTTTCATAACGTTCGGTCTCGAAATTTTTATACGATCGGAAGCGCGCAGTCACTTTTCGAGAGCGCAGATTTAGTTCTTGTTCGGAGTTCTTGTTCGAAGGAAGGAACGCGGTTGAACAGTTTTTTCAGTCCCTTCCCGCAGGGCGAAACGTGGAGTCGATAGACGCGGGTCGGATTAGGGGCGCCTATCGGGGATGTCGGGGAAATTCGACGCATCAGATTCGCCGAGATCTTATTCGGGCTAGACCTATTTTATTCTTCGGGGCGTAGGTACTCGAAAATGTGCAACTCGAGTCGTATCGGTCGGTGATCGCTGGGCCGCGTGAACCGTGCACGAAACACGGTGTGCACGGTATCTATACCGTGTATGGCGTGTACGGCCGCGTCGGTGTTTGTGCGCTGCTGAAAATTTCAATCCGCGATTTCCATTCTAACGAGAGATCGGCGTATACGTGCCGGCCTCGCTGGGGGGGGGTCTCCAATTTCATGCAAATCGCCGGGACATCGTCGCGAGAGAAAGAGAGAGAGACGGGCAGCTCTCTCTCAGCGATGGCGTAGCGCGCAACTGTACTGTGTACTACGAACGACATGCGAGAGACCGAACGTGGATGGAGGAGCTTGTTATTAAAATACCGTCGTTGAGAGGCCAACGAAATGTTCCGTCGATGTTTCGTTTAACCTCGCTCGAAAAGCCCCGCTCGAGCGAGCTGCAAAATGCATCGCGGTCATTTCGTGAATCTCGTCCGCGTATTAGCACATTTACATCATTTTATGAGCTAAAAATCGAAATTTAAATAACCAGGACGATTATGGATTTTCTTTTCGTAGTGCATTTAATACGTGTAAAAACCTTTTAAGTTTTTGCAGCTCTTCTTAATTCCGATATGCAATTAACTCGATATAGTTTCCAGGAACATTTCTCGCATTTTTCGTTTATGCTGTAGCGGATGTATCTCGAAACGTACCTACTAATGCACGCGGCAAATTGTTTTCCACCATCGAATCGACTGTGTTACTTTCATGGCCGCATTTTCCTTCGCATTTGGTACGACGAATCGTGCCGGCGAATACTCTGTAATAGTTCCACAGAATAGGCGCACGCGACAGAATCGCTTCTGGTAAAGTTTCATTATTCCAAGGAGGCGATAAATAGCGACCTGTTTTATGCAAATGGGTCGGGTGTAGGCACGGGATCGGCTGTACTCTGTCGCTCCGCAGGGCCGTGCAAACAGAGCAGAGAGACAAAGAGAGAGAAAGAGAGAGAGAGCGAGAAGGAGAAACGAGCAGGCAACGCCGTTATTAAAGTGCTTGTATTGCGCCATGGCGTCACGGGAAAGAAGTATCACGGACTCGCTTAACTCGTGAATAATAAATGGCAGAAACTGGCAGATAACTAGCGCTTTTCCGCTCTCTCGCGCACGAATTAAATTAAGCTGCAATATTGTACAAATGTGCGTTGCCCTTCGTGAATATATATGTTCGGAAAGTAGAAATCATGCTTCTCGTTACATTTTCGCGATATTTGACGTTAATAATGATGAATGACGGAATAACAGCGATGTCGAACTGTTATATTAATCATCTCGAATAATTTATAGTTATCCATAATGTTGCGACGTTTTAAGTATTTTACAGAGGAAAGAATAAGAATGCAAATTTATAAATGTGATATCAAAAATACTTTATTGTTATTATCTTTAATAATGAATTCCAACGTTTCAATTAATTCCTCGCTCTTACGTTAAAGGCTTAATATATTTAGCTAATAAAGTCGACACAGCGAAAATTCGAGAGGAATAGGACAGTAACCGTGTTCATTATACGAAGGCTGCACGAAATGCATTCTTCGAAGATATCGCACGATAGGAGCTCGAGGCGTACACGCTTCGTACGAAAATGGCTCGGAGGTCGAATTTCTCCTTTTCGTCGATCAATTCTATGGTAGCTCAACCCGCTCTCTCCCTCCCTCCCTCCTCCCCCTCTTTCTCTTTCCCGTTCTCTCCCCTCGCACCCGATCTCCGTTCGGATATTCATCGCCCGTTTTCGCTGCATTGCGCAGAACGCCGATAAATCGCATTATCCGGGAACGACCGCTGCCCTGAAACGGGCAGCTTATTTGGCCGCGCTTAAATTCCAGTCTAAGCCATTTTCAGAACCCCAGCGGCAGAGCGAGGAGAGGCGTCAGCGCCGAACCGACGAAAACCATCGCAGCCCGTTATCCTGAATGCGATATTCGATGTGGGGGCGGAGGTGGTGGAGAGACGGAAGCATTTTTGATGTCTTTATTAAATTTTAATGACGCGGGAATACCATCAACGGCTGCGCTCGTCATGCTAGCTCGTAAAAGAAAATGTTACGCTTGAGAAAAGATACTTTGCAGGATATAATCCCCGATGATTAAAAGACGAGCAAATTGATGGTTGAAAAAGAAAAAGAGGAAAAATTTGTTCTCGTAATCATTTGAATTTTCTATTACGTTTAGACTTATATCACTTATATTTAGATTTACCATTATCTTTTAATTTCACGCTATTTGTCAAATATAAGGTCGATTTTTAACGATGAAAGGCGATTTATCTACGCCGCTCGTACATCATACATTTCCTGCTGTTTCCCTAATTCGAGCTCGTTTATCAGCGAGCAGAAAATTACGATACCCGTGCACTCGATAAGCTGCTATTTGCGCGGCGAGGATAAAAGTCCGGACGTCTCTCCACGGCCGCGCCATTCGTCTCCGT